ACGTTTTTATTAAATTACAGAGCTTCCAGAATGAGGATCTAGATAGGACGTATGTATAAAAACATTTTGAACCTTTGAAAGCACCTTTTAGTTTGTGTGAAGTTCTTCAGACGGCCCCGTTGTCCTTTGAAGCTTCTAACACCAGGTGTCTGTTGCAGCCCAGAGCAAGGTTGCTGCTACCCAGGACAGCACTAATTTGCGATGTATTTTCTGTGGTAAGCAACATTATGTTTACATTCCTTTTTCAAGCTGTGGTACATACTACTTGCACATTTCCATAACTTTTGTTTCCGTAGGCCATAGTCTGGCTTGTGGTATTCGGGGTATCCAGCAAGCTCCCGTTTTATGTCGTGCTCTCTATCTGTCGTGGTTCACGTAGTGATTCGGGCAGCTTTTGAGTTGGCTTCTTAGGACGTAGTCAGGGTGAGGGTCTTCCAGTGAGTTCTTCCGCAGTTCTTGCCATGGGAGCAAGAGGGGTTTTTGTTTGTTCGTTTTTGTTTTCAACTATTTTGTTTGAGGCAGTCTTTTAATTTATAACTGAAGGGACAGAATCCATGCACCTCAGTATGTGTCAAGGACTGTGAATGTGTCTTATCCGAAGGGAGCGTTTGCTCCACCCGAGTGAAGCTGTAGGCACATGTGTCTCGAGGTGGGTGGAAGCCACTGCTGCTTCCGGCTCCTCCATGGCCGCCTTCTTCCTGCAGTAGGTGAGGCGTGAGCTTGGGCTCACAGAGTGCTCTTGCACTCCTGTGCACACGCGCGCACACCTATGTGGTGTTCGCATGCGCGAGCCGGAGACGTCCCTTAGCTTCCCCGAGTCACAGTTAGGTGCGTGCTCCTGCCCTTACACGAGGATAGAGCTTTGTGCGCGTGCACACACACACGAACACACACACAGACACGCACACCTTCCTCTGAATTCTTTTTATCCTTATTTGATTCTAAAACCTTCTGTTTGGAAAACCAAGTTCAAAAAATGACTTGTAAGTGTTAGAACTTTTTTTTTTTTTTTTTTTTGACTCCTAATATATAGATCTTTTTTTTACTCCTGTATACCTTGACTGGCCCAGTTGTTCTATGAGACATATAATTATAAAGTATTAATATTGCTAAAATTTTATATAAACAGTTCAGCCGTGTATGTGTACTTTATCCACGTGACTCAGTTTTTGATGTGATTCTTCAGTATTTCTGATATTGTTTCTTTATCTAATTCTTTAGAATTTAAAAATTTATGTACTGCTGGTTGAGGCAAAGAAGCATGTGTTATAAAATTTCCAAAAATAAAAACTCTGGTGTATTTCTTAATCACCTAAAGTTCCATTTTTGGCTTGCTCCGGACGACACGGTCCCATCAGTGAGCCTGTGCTGCTGGTCTTCCTAACTCCCTGCTTCCCAGGGTTTAATCAGTGACTCTAAGCGATGCTTCTCTCGGCCTCCTCCTGGGGGTTCTTCTAGGCCACCTTTTGAACTAGCCTTGAGTTATTATTCATATTGGTGTTATTAGGACTTTTTTTTAGTTCATGCTGATGTTCTGTACTTTGCTACTTACTATGTTGAGTTCCATATGCAGAGTAATAGATACAATTTACCCAATTGCAGAGAGGATTGATTTTCCCTTAATAAAGGTGAATTTTTAAGTTGTAAAATAATGTGTTAAAAAAGCAGATTTTCCCCATTATTACCTTTAATTGATTTAACTGTGTACAATAATATAATTACCACATTGCTAAGTTTACACTTGATTGTATTGTGTATAATAACACCTCCTGGTCTTTTAGTCCTGTGTTTTTAAGCAGTCTGTGGCTAAGTGTGAAACCAGATTTGTGGAAATTAAAATGTGACAGCAGGTGCAGTGTGCTTTAGCCAAAACTCAGTATTAAGTCAAGACTGAAATGCCATTCATTCCTGGATTCGAGAGACACACTATTCTGCTCTCCATCATTTATAGAGAACCTATCAGTGACATGGACACATTTTCTTTATTAGAAACTAAGTCACATCTCTGCTGTATGAATTTTAGCCAGGACAGATTAATATCAGTCCTTGTCTCCGGCTCTGGTAATAAAACAGAGGCAATAACCCTCAAAATTAGCTACCATTCTTCATGACACCACAGTAGGGATGAGGCAGGCTCACGTGTCTCTTCTCCTTTTTCCTGAAAGAGAACCATTAGCCACCATAGGATGCTCATAAGAATACTGTCTTGTGCCACCGGATAGGAAAGTGCCTTTTTTTGCATTCCATGAGAACACAGATGCTCATTTAGGAATCTATGACCGATGTGAAGTAGTGGTTACAGTCCAGAAAACATGGCGGCAGCCGGCAGCCTTGACTGCTCCTAGTTGTTGCTTCATGTCCAGACCCTCCTGTGGGTGGGACCAACCAGAAGGAAACATGAGATTGTGTCCCTGGAGTTAAGTGACCCTGAACTCTTCGATGCAGTGCTTATGGTATATTTACATTCTCTTAAATACACATGAGTTTGAGTGTGCTCATTATTGTGACTTGACAGTACTGATGGCGAAGAAACAGACAAGACAACTAGACTAAATACAGGTGCGAGAAGACCCCAGGGGGAGGCCCCTCCTCTCCGGCCCACCAGGGAGGGGATGTGTGTGGAAAGACAAGCTGCCCATTACCACAAAGAACCATGTAGAATACACTCGGAGAGCTTTTCTTGGATCAGAATTCCCCTCATGTTAAAAGGATCTTCCTCTTTCGGCTACATGAATAAATTTGTGGTGAATTAATTTTCTAATGATACCAGCCAGAGAATACGTTCCACATTTTTAAAACTTCCTTTTAAAACAAATTTGTTAATTTTTTAACTAAAAAAAAAAAAAAAAAAGAAATCCAGAACAGTTTCTGTAAATTGTTTTTAAAAGATAATTAGATAATTTTTTCTCATTCAAACTTTTTTTGAGTTAAATCAAACTTTTGTTAGTTTTTTTTTTTTAATCTGTTGAACAAAATCAGGGTTGAATTGAAATTTTGACACCCTTTACTTGAATTTGTGTATTTGACTTAAAACTTAAATCGGTAGTTTTATATTGGGGAATTTCATCTGTCCGTATCACCATGGAGGTCACAAATGCCTGTGCTACATGTGAGCAGTATGTCGGTGTCCTTTTTTGGGATAGGTGCTGGATGAATCTCTCTGACCCCATGGCATCCAGCTGTTTAATTATTGGAGCAGTATGAGCTTTTAACTTAAATAACAAATATTAATTTAAAAAATAATTAAGCCAGAATGGTTTCATGAGTTTTCCAGGCTAAGTGCTCACATTTAATATTTTTGGATAAATGCAACTTTGGAATAAAAAATACTTCCCCCAGATAGTTTAGTTTATATTTTTTCGTGTTTACTCTCCACTCCTAGTCTTCTGTTTGTCCCCCCTTCTGCTGGAAGAGATAAGACATCTTTTCCTTCTATGAGTATTAGACATTAGTTTATGGCTTAATATGACAGTCTGTTTTACATCAGTATGTTCATTTCCAAAAGAAGGAAAGAATTCCAGCCTGTTTACTAGACAAGTTCTGTTTTTCATTTATGCAAAAATTTAAGTGTGTGTTTAACACTAACTTAAAACGCTTTTTGATTTTTTGTTCTTGTTACTGATGACTTAGAATTAATATATTTTAATATTTCCTTTATATGGTTTTCAAAATAGCAGACTTAGGAAATCTAATGAAATACATCACTGCAATTTTCATGTATCTTGTCTTTTAGAGGACAAATTACATGAATAATCTAGAAATGGGTAAAGACATGAGAACAAAAATTTAGTAGGTAAGTTTAGATCCACTTACCTGTTTTTCCACATTTGGGATATGCCAGTGCCATACCAAAATTGCCGGAACCTCATCCTTCTAGCTGCAAGGTTTACTTCCCTAGCACGGCACAGAGTTACCAAAAATTTACGTTAGTACAAAGAGGCATTTCTCTCTTACTTGTTTCTGGTACTAGCGGCCTACAAAACACTGTCAAAATATCTGTTAGGGGCATTTCCTGGCACCTTAGATTTACTTGTTTACTGGATTCTATTTGTTTACTGGGTTAGATTTCAAGATTGTTCTGTTTTAACCCTAGGCTTCGTATATTAGGTCCAGTATTTATTTCTCTCATGACACATTTAATTTTTATATCCAGTGACATTAAATTGTCCCATATTTAGTGGCATTTGTTATAAGATGGTAAAATGGGTCTGCACTGCACATGGTATGTGGGAATGGATGGTCATTAGTTTCTCGTGACCGAACCATGCTGGTTTGAACGTAGCTTTTTGGCTTTTGGGTGGGTTTTTTTGTTTGTTTTGTTTTTGATTTTGGGTTTTTTTTTTTTTTTTTTAGCCCCAAATGAAAAGTTATGATCTATGTTACATTAAAAATTCAGATACGTAGGTTAATTTTATATAGAAATTTAGCAAATGTTTGTTTTCACCAGTTCTGGAAATGCCAACCCATTAAATAAAAATGGCAGCTTAAATTGGGCAAATTTGTTAAATGCATTAGCGTTCTTCATCTTAGTAATAAGGTTCTCATGCTCTCTCTCTCCTGTTTTTCATTTCCAGTGTTCTATTTAGGTGAGTTTTTGAATTCTGATTTTTTCATTTAAGTTCTCCCTCTCCACTTCATGAATAAGTACCCCAAAGAGAATGTCTCATTGTCTTAGAAACGTCCAGCTCAGGTGCCTATTCAGATGCTCATTGAACACTTGTTTTCCTCAAGCTCTTCATATATAAATGTTTATTTTTCCTTTATCGTTGATGTTTTCCATTTGTTTCAAGTAAGCCTTCTGGAGATGATGACAGTATTATGTTGCAGTCTTTCATTTGCTGTGTGTTATGTAAAGCTTATATTTTATTTTGCTAAACAAAAAAAGAAGATACATTCGTAAATATGTGATGGTTTTATGTTATTCTTCTCATGATTTTATCTCTTCCATCCAGCTAACTATAAAGATAATGTTCATCTATAATGTTTTCCTCCTTTTTTAGGGCCAACATTGCCTAGACAAAATTCTCAACTACCTGCCCAAGTTCAAAATGGCCCATCACAAGAGGAATTGGAAATTCAAAGAAGGTAAATTTTTTATAAGTTGCTCTTTGCAGTTTTTCTTTCTACTGCAGAAGACCTATGAGCATCCTAATATCGAAAGTGGATTATGTCTTGTCAGCTGTTTAAAAGTCACTTAGCAGCATACACAGTACTTTGACTTCAAGGAGTCTTATTTTTATAGCGGTTATATATTGATCTATGGTCATTATGGCTTTCACATAACAAATTTAAGTAGAAAGTCGAAATCTTGTTGGCTGTTCATAGAAGTCATTGATCTTGAGATATTACCCCTGCTTAGTAATGGAATACAAACTCATTCTATTTATGATTAAATTGCTGGTTTGGCGAGGTCAATAATATTATCTCGTTGCTTCAGTTCAGTTTATAAAGAAATACATTGGAAAGCCTAATACAGCCTCATTCAGGTATAGTTGTTCTGAATTAGCAGAGTCTCTGAACTCTAAGTTACCAAATTCATAACAAAATAGTTTTATAAAATTCAGGTACATACAGTAATGAAAATTAAACCAGGTGTCCCATTTTAAAACAAATGAAAATTTTTGGTGATGTTGATATCGCTTTTTATCACTATAGGTCACCTGTTTTATTTTAGAGAGCTGATAACCATGGTATGGATGGAGTCTTCCATTTGATAAGCATTTGTTCCATGCCAAGCCAGCATTTCTTCTTGTGACCTTGGATTTGGATCTCACATTTGAACCGCTCTTCAGATTCTCCATGTTGTTTTGATACATGTGTCATGTTCCCCTGACAGACAGACAGATGGATCTCTACTATGTTCTCTACTGGCTGCTTTGGGGGTGTAACTGCTTAGCTCTTGGGGAAGGCCTCCTGAAATGAATTTTGTTTTTGTCACAGCCTTTTATATTCAGTTCAGTCGCTCCAGAAATAGCCCCCAAATTTGATGAAAATCTATGCAACTCTTTTGAGTGATGCTATTATAACGTGCAAATAAAACTTTTGTAGAAATAAGGGAAGTTTAAGAGATAGAATCTCAGTTCTATATTGAGTGTTTTAAACATACCAGAACAATTCCAAGAGTTAGAAATTATAATATTCTGTTGCCCCTCCCCCACAGAAAAGTGATTAATAACAAAATGATCATGGGGCGCCTGGGTGGCTCAGTCCCGTTGGGCATCTGACTCTTGGTTTCGACTCAGGTTGTGTGATCTCCAGAGTTGTGAGATCAAGCCCTTGGTCACGCTCCACGCTTGGAGCATCTACTCCACCTCTGCCCCTGCCCATCTCCGCATTCTCTCTCTCAAATGAATGGATAAATCTTTAAAAAAAAAGATCATGGTATTATCAGGAATACCATTTGTAGAAAGCTAGGAAGAACCAGGAGAGAACCCAAACATAACAGATAATTTCTGGCATCATGGCTTGGCAAGCAAGGGGCCCCCCGGGGACAGTTGCTGGGTGGGGACAACACAGAACAGAGGTTGGAGCCCGCAGAGGGTGCTGCCAGTGATCCCTCCAATGAGGGATCCACTACACGGATGTCATTCAGAACTAGCAACCTGCAGTTTCAGTAGAAGTAAATATTGAGTGAATTTTTACCTACCGCTGTGAAACTGCTGTGCCCTGTGTCTGATTTGGTCCTGTCCGAGTGCTGGCTGGCCCTGCGGCACTCCCCAGGACTTGAGGCTTGTCTGCCTGTGTGCAGAAGGCTACTGCAGGGCTTGAAAATTGGATGGTGTTTGTATTACTTGTTTAGTTCAAGACTTGAGCTCAGTTGTTTTGAAGAGTGAAATCCAAAATTCTGAAAAATGGATATACATTTTAAAATTATTTTCTGTCCATAGCCACATGGAGTCTTCTTTCTTTTATTTTTAAAATCTTTTAATTTTTAAAACAATTTTAAAGATTTTTTACTTTTTAGTAAACTCTGTATCCAGTGTGGGGCTTGAGCTCATGAGCCTGAGATCAAGAGTCACCTGCTGCACCAACTGAGCCGGCCAGGCGCCCCTCTTCTTTCTTTCAGGGAAACCTATCACATACCACTGTCTTTCTCTGTCGATGTTAATTTTCATCTCTGTCCCTTCTCTCTCCTCCACCCACTTCCTGTTTTACCCGGTGGATCTGTTTTGTGTCTGCTCAAATCTCCTGGAAACGCTGCTTCCAGCATTGACTTGTTTCTGGTTGAGATTTCTGCTCATGCACGTCTGCCTCTTTGCTTTCTTCCTTTCGATCCTTCAGACTCTCTGGCTTCTCGCCTCCTGTCCCATAGGCCCCTCCAGCTTCTTCCATGCACGCGTGCACGAGCTGTCCTCATGCTCCTTCTGTACATGGTCTGCCTCGATAGACTGATGATAGGGTTGCATAGTGTTGTTTCTTCTTATGCTGGCGGCTTCCATATGGACAGCTGTGATCCTGTACCTGAGATCCATGTGGTATTTTCCACGAAATGGAGCCATTCGTGGATCCTTTCGGGAACTGGGTGATAGCAGTGACACGTGCCCTCTTCCCCTCACCTCCCACCCTTCTAATATGCATGTAGACATGAATTTGTGTATCATTTCAGAGGGTCAGAGACCCTCTCAGTTCCACCAGGTGATCTGCTGTGAGAAGTCCTGTCATGGAGCTCATGCATTTGGGTGTCCCACTAATACTGCAGTGTAAACCCGTAGGATTTTATTCTTCGTGTGCATGCTTTTTCTCTTCAGTTTTCCTCCCAAGCTTTCTGTGCAGGAGGCCTGTAATGCTCTTCATTGACCATCCCCGTCCCAGTGTACCTTTTGACTTCTTTCTCTAACAGCCTGTTGGATCTGCTGACACTGTGAGGACTAACAACTCGCCCAGGATTTGTTCTTCTGTGTACCGCTGGTGTTTTCTAGTTGGTTTTCTGGTCCTTAACCCAGACCCCTTTCAGCTATTCCCACTTTATTTCTTTCAGATTAATTCTTCTTAAAGTTGTTTGCACGTGGTACACTCCCATGTGGCACCAGAGGGCGTAAGATGGGGAGAGGTCACCTGCCATGCAGTCATGCCCTTCCCTTCATATCAATCCCCAGAATGAATTTCATGCCTAACCATTTCTACGTTTAGTACTTCTGATGGCTTCTCCCATAGCATGAAAATAATATGTTTCTGTTTCTAGTTCTTGATGGTCATGTGATGGCTGGGGGCTTCTTACCCTCCCCCACCAAGCCTCCGCACTAGGAAGTATGACTTGTCCGCCTCCCTGGCCGGCTTCCATTAGCTGTTCCTTTCAGTTTTGCTGCTGGTTTCTCATTCACACTGAACCTGCCTCTTCACTGGAGCTGTCTCTGTGCTCCTTGCTCTGTGACACCCCTGTCCCGGCACTTCCATCCCACCCCCTGGTTTTCTCACTTCACAGTTTAGAGATTTGCAGTCTTCCTACATCTGTTGTTAACTCTGGCTGTATGTCACAGGTGATATTCCCCCCACCCACCCCTTTCTGGAATCCCTTTAAACCTGTCAACCATGGTAATCTGGGTTTTCAGGAATATGTCACTAACTGAAGTTTTTGGTTTCTGTGGTTTCTTTTTCATCATTTTTTTTTCTTTAGGTCTGTACTTAATGGACCTCTTCCATTTGAAGACTCACACCCATTTAAACATTTCTTCTGTTTTCTCTGCTCTCTTTTTTGTGAACTCCTACTAGTCAATTCTGGTCCTTCTGGATTATTTCATCATGATACTTCTCTTTTCTCATTTTTTTGCTTCTGTATTCTTGGTAATATTTTTAACAGTATAGTCTAGACCAGCACTTTCTAGTAGAAATACAATATGGGCCATATATATAATTTAAATTTTTCTAGTGGCCATATTAGCAAAAGTAAAAAAAAAAGGTGAAATTAATTTTAAAAATACATTTTATTTAACCTAGTCCATTTAAAGTACTGTCATTTCGATATGAAATTTGTATAAAAGTTGCTAAGGTATTTTACATTGTATTTTTCATACTGAGTCTTCAAAATTTGGTGTGTATTTTACACTTACTATGGATTTCTGTCCAGACAGGCCACATGGTAAATGCTGAGGAGCCACATGCGTGGCTCACGGCCACCCAGTGGGGATAACGTAGTAGTAGATTGTCTATCAAAAGATGAACCTTAATTTCCAGGAGTTTTTTGTATTTTGTAATTATTCCCTTTTTGACAGCCTGTTCCAAATTCATGACTATATCTTAAGCCTCTCCTGTTTCTCTTCCTTTGCCTGAATCTTCTCCTTCCTACAGAGTTGGTTTGTTTTACTGGTTTTATTCAAATACCTGGTCATCCTAAGTGGTGTTTCTTTTTAAACAGATGAGATGGCCTGGCCTCAGTCCTTGGCTTGGCTTTCCTCTTGCGTCATGGAAGTGAGGTCTCTGGTCGGCCCATTCCTCCCTGACCCGGAGGGCTTCCAGGAGGTCTGTGGCAGCAGGCGGAGCGTGTGGACTGGCAGGCTCTCCTTTAGGGTATGAGGGTGGGGTCCCACAGGTGCTGAGGAGCCCTGGCTCACCCGAGGCGGCATGTCCAGTTTAGGGAACAGTCTTCTGTGGCAAATGTCACCCCGTCCACTGACCTGAGGCTGGGGAGGAGGGAGTGGTGGATGCCGCTGTTCTTCAGACAAGGTGCGAGGTTCTGAGTCAGCCTGATCATGGCCATGTCACCCTCTGCCGTCCTCTGTGTCCACTGGCCTCACGGGAGGTCTCCCCCAGGTTCCTCTTGTTGCATCCACCACAGCCTCTCTCCGTGTGTGCTGGCTGTGGTTGCCTCCTCTCTGCAGCGCGGCGAGGAGGTGCCGGGCACCGTTTGTTCCCCATGCTTAACGACACAACGGGGCAGGGAGTGGGGTCTGGGCATAAACAGCCTTATTACCCCATTCGACAGTAAACGGTAGACATAGCAGAAGGTGACTAGTGCTCTGGGGGGAGACCCAGCGGAGCAGAAGGGAGTGCGTGTGGCAGAGGGGCAAGGGAAGGCCGGTTATAATTTTAGATAGGCTGGTCAGGTTGGGTCTTACTGAGACACAAGGAAGGAGCCAGCCAAGTAGGTG